AACTAGCACCAGATTCAAAGCACTTTGTGCCCAACCCATCCCGGCCACAGAGGGCGAAAATGACTAACCCCCCGCAGGAAGCTGGCGTACTCACAGATGTCTCCTAAGCCTGCAATGGTTCCCCTTTGGTCTGGCTGTTTCAGGGTCCAGCATGGAAAAGAAACTTGAAATCAGCCTGGCAGGTTCCTGTCGCTTACTGTGATCCAACCTTGTCACAAGCGCAATGCCTTGGGTGTCCTTAACATCTGTTCTGGGGCCTATCTGGCTACACCAGGGCTACGTCTAGACTGGCAGGATTTTCCACAAATGCTTTTAATGGAAAAGTTTTCCGTGAAAAGCATTTGTGGAAAAGAGCGTCTAGATTGGCACGGACGCTTTTCCACAAAAGCACTTTTTGCGGAAAAGCGTCTGTGCCAATCTAGACGCACTTTTGCGCAAAAAAGCCCCGATCGACATTTTCGCCATTGGGACTTTTTGCGCAAAACAAATCTGAGCTGTCTACACTGGCCCTTTGCGCAAAAAGGCCTTTTGCCCGAACGGGAGCAGCACAGTATTTCCGCAAGAAGCACTGATTTCAGACAGTAGGAAGTCAGTGTTCTTGTGGAAATTCAAGCGGCCAGTGTAGACAGCTGGCAAGCAGCTGCTTTTGCGGAAAAACTTGCCAGTCTAGACACAGCCCAGTAGTTTTCAACCTGGGGCCCAATCAGCACACAGCTGCAGCTGTGATTTTTCTCAAGGCCATATGAACATCATAGATATTGTGCAGATAAACAGGCTGAGAACCACCTTGCCTCTAAACCAACATGTAGGCTGCAACAACAGGAGGGCTGGATATCAGGGCTGACCTGCACTTGGGACTGGGATAACGGGATGGGCACAGGTCATGTGGAATCAGCATTGGCATAATTGTGTTGGGGAGACACCAGGACTGGAATAGTTGTGAGGGGGTTGCAGCAGTTGAGCAGTGTGTGGGGATACTTGCCCAGAGGGACCTGCCTCTAGTCTCCGGGCTGGCAAGTCTTTGCTTCCATGAGCTATTAAACAGCACCTGGTGTCTTGGCATCAGCTTTAGTAAAATGTAGGATGGTCCAACAGCTTGTTTGCCTCCCAAGAGGGGGTGTAAAGTCACCAGCCACTTGTGTGCCATGTTACACCATCTTATTCTGCAGGTTTCACCTTGAAGCCACAAGCTGTTTGTTCTCTCCCCAACTGCAGCTCAGGCTGCCTAGGACAACTTACGTCACAGCTTATTTCTTGGATCCTTCCCTGTGCCTGCCCCCCTGGGTTAATTAATACAGAGATCTCCCTATCTCCCAGGACTGGAAAGGCTCTTGAGAGGTCAGCCAGTCTACTCCCCTGCCCTCATGGAAGGGCCAAGTATCATCCCAGGCAGATTTTGCCCCAGATCCCTAAATGGCCCCCTCGAAAATTGAGCTCACAACCCTAGGTGTAAGCAGGCTCAAACCACTGAGCTATCCCTGTCTCCCCGCAGGTTCTGCCCTTCAGTTGCAGTGGGGTTGCCTCAGGGCTTTAGCTGGTGTTTCAGTCCTGCAGGGGCAGCAGCAGGACTTGGAGTGCCTGCCTCATGAGACTTTGTATAAGGATGTTAAAATGCGGTTAATCGACTAGTCGATGGAATTTCTAGTTGATAGGCACTTCCACATT